AATCACAGTAATGCAACTTTGGGTCTGCTCAACATTTTACCCCTCTGCAGTGGCACTATGCCTCCGCCAGGGGGGCCCGCCCCCCAGTTTGGGAACCACTGGACTTATTACCTGGCTTGCTATGCCTTGTTTTGTCGCTCTTGCTCCATGTTTGGCTGCGATGGCAAAGTTGTCAACTCGTTAGCTTGTGATTGGTGTAGGGCAAGTTACTTATACTTATTACTTGGTGATGTTGTCCGTTACTTTACTATTACCGTCGCTACCACCCCCCTCCCTCCCCAAACAAAGCAGTCTTTCCCGACTTTTTAACTAATATTTAAAACTGCAGCAAGGCGTATATTTCATGACATAATGTTTCTTAACGCCACCGGCTGAATTAAAAAAATAAAGCAAGTAAATCCTGATTTTTAAACTGTTTTTCTGCACATGTGTTGATCACAGCAGTATTCAGCATTTTTACGAAACGTTACGTTAACGCCACTCTCTCCCAACGAGTCCAAGCACGTTTCACGTTGCTGTGCTGTTTTAGCAGATGCTTCAATAAATTAGATTAGATAATTGTTTAAAGTTTAAAGCTTTTTGCTGGTCGCCCAGAGTTTACAACGGACGACAGTGTTCTTTGCATCTTAGACTGTGACACTGCGATACTCCCTGGTTCTCCATTCTTCCTTTCAGTTTTTGGCTAACAGCGGACATTAACGACAAAGTCCAGTGTCGCTGACCTGCAGCGCGTCAAGAGTGGCGCGTTCAGTAACGCAGCGTTACTTGAATTAGTGACTGTAATAATATTACTGTTTTGGTTACTGGGAAAAGTAATAATATTACTGTTTTGGTTACTGGGAAAAGTAATAATATTACTGTTTTGGTTACTGGGAAAAGTAATAATATTACAGTAGTGACGTGTTACTGCCCAATACTGCCTCACATTTCATAACAAATACACGCGTACACCCGTCTTTATTTACGACAGCATCGTTTAAAATACGCTTTTAAATTGGGGGTGCCAAATCACAAAAACATTTATTGCATAATGTTGCTTTAAGATTTCCCTGATGAAAAATATGTATGTGGGCAGGGTTGTCCCTTTTCCACATGAGTAATTTATTTGACACTTCAGGTGTAAATTTAGGCCTTAATGAGTCACGCAGACACACAGCAATACAACATTTCTGTACACTAACTCAGTGTCACACACACACACACACACACACACACACACACACACACACCCTCCAAATTTCAAGCTTTCTACGTTCCATCAAACACACACACGAACACACAGAGGGCGTCACTGTGGTTTGGAGTAGAAAGAGACTCACTGTTGGTTTCATCCTCGCCCGTCGCTGTAGTGACCGAGCTGCTTTGATCCTCCTCGCCACTCTCTCTCTCTCTCTCTCTCTCTCTCTCTCTCTCTCTCTCTCTCTCTCTCTCTCTCTCTGTTCTGAAACATAATGGACGGCGGTAAAGGCAGGCACAGCGCTTTGTTGCCATGGCGATGGCAAAGGAACTAATAACCTGGCGGAGAGCAGATAAGGCCGGGAACAGAGAGAGAGAGAGGACGGGAGCACGGACACACAATGAAGCGAGTGTGTGCATGTGTGTGGGATGTTGGGGTGGCGGGGGGGCATTATGACTGTTGAGGACTGCATGTGTTCATCCACTCCAGCCTTATACGTTTTAAGTATATGTCATATGTGCTTGAAAGGTTGGATTATCAAGCATCTAGTCCAGGAGCCCACGCTTCAACGTGTCTCAATCTAATTCATTGTTGGGATTATAACAATAACAAGGGCCCCTGATGCACGAGTGAGTTACTTTTGTGTCTACCAAAAAAATAAGTTTGACAGCAAAAACTATCCACACCCACAAATGTGTGATTTAAAAGTTTTGTGTGCAAATGCAAAATGTTGAAATCTTGTGGGTGGGACCAACGATGTACACGTCTCTACTGGCCGGTCTCGATCGGAGTGTCAGCTTGGCAACATCCACTGTTAGTAAACGCGAGGGAGAACTTTGAGGCCGTGAAGAAGAAAATCTGTGCCGTCTTAGTGACAGCGAGAATGCTGTGTTTGAACTGGTGCATGTACACTGCTTTTTGACCCCGAGTGCGACCCGTTCTCGCTCCCAAGTCATCACACAGGTGTCGGATATTTAACAGAAAAAAGAGAAAAAGAGATTTCAGTCACCCGTGTTGTCATGAAAGACTGACTAAGGAGGTGGATGGGGTTGGACGCTGGCCAGAAACTGGACTTTCATCCATGGGCTGGTGTTTGTTTCCCATGTGAAACAAAAAGTGAATTTTTTATTCAAGCTACGTTGGTTGCGCAAGTTGCGTAAGTTCCACAAGTAATGTTACTTAACTTACGTAAGTTAAATGACTGAACGTGACGTTTAACTTTACCCTAACCAAGAAGCTTTTTTTGCCTAAACCCAACCAAATTCTTTCACAACGTATCGTTTCAAAACTGCACAGTTTCACGTTAATGAGTAGTTTTATTTTAAGTCTAACTGGACATTGCATATTAATTGTTGACCGCTGAGCCCTAAATGTTGAAAAACTATCGTAAAGGGCTACCCCGGGCGTTAAAAAGCGTCTTGACCAAGCGTCCATATGTGACGAGCCGGGCAGTCAAGGGAGCTGTCGTTTGTGTTACAGACTCACATGATCAAAAAGAAAGATATTGTGGGAAAAACTAACATTAATAAGGTCGAGCTGATGTAATCACGGGGTGCTCTGGAGGTTTGTGGTGCGAACCATGAACCACAACGTCTGGACAAGGAACCTCTCTGCATTTCATTCCCATCCCTCTCTCTCCCCTCGTCTCCCGTCATACCTCACTTAAATAAAAAGGTAAAGGGGTAACTACAAAGTAAAAGATATATATATATATTATTTTACACTAAATCAGAAAATAATGTTAAAAATACGCAAACATGAGATTTACCGTCCCAGAACCATAATTCTGTGTAACTAAAGTGTAACTTTTGGTCTGATGATGGTCAGGGGATCAACAGCAGGAAATACTAATTAGGAATCCTCCTCAGAGTTCTGTAAGTATCCACTTAGTTTTTTTATTATGGACATTTGGCCAGTAGTCGTGCATTAACATTAATTCATTTAGCTTTCATCCAAACTTACAGTCGCTAAACATGTCAGAGGTCAAACGCCTCTGGAGCAACTAGTGCAGAAATCGTCCTCGGGATTAAAGTGCTGTCAAGTTATGTTCCTTGTTTCTGCACGTTAGTCCCGGTACCTGTTTTAGTTTGGTAATCGTCCCTCTCTGTTGTTGGTCTCCTGCTTTGTTTCGCCTTTGTCCTGATTACCTAATGTGTCCCACCTGTTTGTGTGCGTCTGTATATATTGTCCGGTTCCCCCGCTATCTGTTGTTGCTCCCCCGTCATATCACGTCAAGTTTATCTGTTACTGTTTTGGATGTTTGGATTATTCTACCCGGTTTGGATTTATGTTTTTCATTTTATGTCTAGTTTCTGTCTTTTATTTGATTAGACATTACAAACTGTACCAGCGACTTCTAGCGTCTTGCATTTGGGCCCAAAAACTCAAATCTCACAAGCGCTGGACCCACTGACGCTCGTCTTACATCATCTTCCACCACCTGCAGGGCAGAAATCCAGTTTATTTCTTGTAATGACAAACCCATGTGCAATCACATGATCACAGTCCGCTGATCAATGTGGATCCTAAAGATGAATGAAATGGTTCCTTTAGCCTTAAAGTACACAGAAATGGTCCAGAAGCTTTAAACTTTCTCCTTATTTCATGAACAGTTGACATTATGGCAATACGTGGTTTTTAGATTTACAAAGCAAGACGAGGAATTATTTCAATCACCTCCGTGTTTTTCAGTATAATCTTTTTTACTCAGTAATTAAATGGCTGACTGGTTTAGGATGGAGATTTTTCTCTGAAAACATTCGCTGACCTGTCTCCTGATGGGTTAAACTGTAACATCTAAGCTGAAAGCAAATGGAGGCGAGCCTGCTCACCGACACACACCCTGAGAGGGTCAAGAAGCTGTGTGCTGTGGGGGAGGTGCTGAGCGATGGATGTACTTTGAGGTGTTTTCCCCTCTGATGTCTTCCTGATCTTCATTTGATGTCGATGTTTTCAGAGCACTTCCAGGTTGACGGTGGAGGAACACTTCGTCGCTTTGATCTCCGCCTTCAACGTCGGCGTACGCCTGCTGAAGTTTGTGTTTGTGCTCGTCTGGTAGAATATGAGTTTACAGACGCTGCAAAACTCCTACTTAACCTTTTGATTCACGCTCGCACATCCACCAGTCCAGTCTTTCAGAGTGTGAATGAACTTTTATATCTTTTTACAAGACAGTTAAAAACAAGACTAAAGGTGCTTTCAGACAGGAAGCCGTCGCAGCCGCCTCCAATGTCAGTGTAAACTACACAGAGGGAAACGATCCAGGAGCTGATTTTACTCGTGTCTGAGTTTCCTGAGTGATTCACCTTTTTGCCAGCAGATAACAGACAGCTCAGCAAAGAGAGACAGTCAGGGAGCAACGGTCTATATTCGTTAAGACGCCAGACCCTCGTCCTCTTAAAGACGCCCTTCGCGGCCCGAGGCAGAGCGTCGCAGTAACGCCATGCGAGGCTAGTAACCCACTGCCCCCTCTGAAAAAGTTATTCCCCGCTGTTTGTCGTCCTGCATCTTAGCTACGCGTTCATACAAGCGCCAGATTTTGTACTTCTGGCAGGATATAGTGACAGTTTCAGCATATATGAGTGTTACGGCTGTATGTGTTTCTCTGTGCTTTGTCCATGTCCCTTTTCTGTTATGTTCTTGTGTTTTTAATTTATCGTCTTGTTACGTTAATAAATTCCACTGATTTGGTTGTGTTTATCTGAGTTAAGTTTGGGTAAGTGTTGGAGTGTTGTTCGCAACAATGACAAAAAGATCTGGGCACGTTAACGCAGTTATTTTATTATTATTATTTTGAAAGTTCTTTGCTCACTGGCTCTGAATACACATACAGTAGCAACATAATGCAGCTGAGGTTGATGGGAATGTCATTAGCTTTTATGACATAGTATTGGAGAACGGGGAACATAAATGCCTGTAAGAAAACACAAATGTCAAACTCAGGGTGATGCTAGAGGCAAATCAAAGTCATTAGGATTCATTCCCATAAATGTTGTTGAGATATTTCAGTCTGGATCAAAGTGGTGGAACAATATTTTCACCCTTTTATATGTCTAAATTGTGAATTCCAACCTTGGGCAGGTTATTTCAGGACTGACTCACCTCTGGTTACCTCCTGCGGCTCAGGGTTTCAGACGCCAACAATGAACCGCAACATCCTCAGTTTGAATCCAGCTGAGGACCTTAAGTTGCAGCTCCCTTGGTTTTCTGTCATCTCTGTACTGAAGAAATGAAAGAAAGAAACGATTCACCTCATCGTTCATTATCACTATCACTGATTTTATTTCAGGATGGATCTGTTACGTCTTCTTCATTAATATAGTGAGTCACAAGGGAGTTCAGCTGTTTCTGTATTTCCAGCATGGTCATACCGCCAATCTACTAAAATGTTTCTTAACAGCAGAGTGAGGGAATTTGTCTGTGGTGCCTTATTTAAACATGTTGCATGATGAAACAAACTCCTACATGAGCCATAACACAAACACTCCTTCAGCTAACTGACCACACAGGGACTACAGACACTTCCGTATATCTGCAAACAGCTGAGGCCTCTTCTTTGCATTCCTTCTTATTAGGAATGAACAGAGGGAGATAATCCTTCACAGCAAACATAAAGTTCAGTCTTATCCCTCCAGCTGTGATTTTTCTTCTTCTTTCCAGCGGTCTCCTCTCTCTCCTCTCACACCTGTCTCTCTCTCTCTGCACTGTCTAATAAAAATAATCTTGAAAAAAAGGCACAATGAAAGTGAGAGGGAAATGTCAAATATTCTGGATATGGAAGGAATCACCGAGATGGTGGAGTCTATTTCTGACCTCGGAGATGATGTGAGATGAACGTTACTGCCAAACCGTCGGTGTCACGACCCGTAATCGTCCAATCTGGCGAGCGCCGGGCGGAGCGAGCAGCGAGCGCTGAGCTGTTTGTTGTTGTTCTAGGTTGGAGGTCGAATGTGTGAATAATCCAGCATTGCACCCAGCGCTGGCCCGATGCCGGATATCCAGACGCTTCCAGCACACACACACACACAGAAAGACCTTTCCCTTTTATAAATATGCAGACTATCAGCAGCCTGAAATGTATCATTTGATAGCAAAAATAAGATCTTTCTAATCGTGCTACCAACATTTTACAGTGAATTTCTTATCTTCATTATACCTGCACCCTTATACTTATTACACCAGTTAACCCAGTGCACCCACTTAATCCTGTGCAACTATTTTACCCATTATACCCTGTTAAGTGTGCCCATTGTAGCCAGATTATACCCCCAGATAATCCCCATACCAGTGTACATAGTGTACCTATCATACCACATCTACTACCACTGTACCTGTAATGTGTAATCTTTACAGTAATTTAAACATGAACCAGGGAGTCAATACCTTAATCAATATATTAATATATTATAATATTGCACTGCAACGACGGGCAGGCTAAGATTCACAGCTGCTGTTTCGTCTAATTCTTTGTTCAATCCAAGCTGTCTTCCAGAGTCAGAACCAGCACCATTCTTGACTGTTGAAAACAGACACCCCCTGGTTTCGGGGGCAGCCGGGCTATGGTGGAATCTGCTGACTGATTTTTATCATTTTCGCCATTTTAAGTCCAAAATCCGGTCGCCATCTTGATTATTGCGCTATACCTGGGAGCTGCCTGCCTTCTCTCGTCTTTTCTGCAGAGAGGAAACGTGCCGCTTTCGACAACCTGGTCTCATGGGATATACGCACTTCTGATTTGTGTCTCCAGGGCTGCAGACCTGATTGGCAGGGTAATCAGCAGCACGGGACTCACCTGGGCCCGGTGTGCCCCATGTAAGCCGGAGTGCCGGTCAGTCTTGGTTGGGCCACCTCATCTCAATGCTTGATATGTTGTCTTTGGTTTCTTGCAGCACTTCCATCCGCTCCCCACACCATTGGTTTTGCTTATTTTTCTTAATCTCAATAAATCAGTTTGTTATTTAGTTTACTCGTGTGTCTCCCGTTTTTGTTACAGTCCAAGAGCTGGACTGTGACAGTACGTACACACGTTCACTACTGTAAAATAGTATATCGCTTTGTGCACGTTCCTGCTTGTACTAGTACTGCTGTTTTTGCTGCTCTTACTTACAGTAACGAGTGTCGTTATGGTCAACGTCTATAATCTAAACTCATCAGCTCAGCTCACTCCTCTCCGGGTCTATGCAGAGCTCTGCTTACTCGTGACTTGTTTCATTTTCAACCTCGTAGTCTTCATCCCCATCTGACGCCGACTCACACGCCCTCTGGAGACAGTAAAGGCTTTCTACAACTTTCACATGTCCTCATCTCACCGCTCATATCGGTTAGTCCATTCTATCATTTCAATCATTTAAAAGAACCCAACCATTAAACCAGCCGCTGGTTCTGACGGTTTAGATACTCAATGGTGAACCAGACAAAACCGCCGCAGCGCCGTGCTTTCCTTCAGTGAAATCTGTCTTCAGGAGGCCTGGAAGTTCATCATCAGCACCGAACATTCGCTCGGCGGCGTCACTGACAGCCAAACATACCGACACATTATCTATTTTCTGATAACACAATGAGAAGAATATTCAGCAGAGCAGATCAACCTCTCGCCTCAGCATTTTCTTTTCTTTTAGATGCCAGCGTTACGGCAGCGCTTTCCATTCTCCCTGCCCTCCGTCTCCCCCTCTCGCTCTGTGAAAGGGTCCGGAAATCTCTGAAATATTTAACACACATTACAATGAAAATAGGTGCATTTATTTCAGCATGTGTCTGAGCCCAAAACTAATGAAAAGATTCCCTGACTTTGGCATTTGAGACTGTGCATAAAAAGCCAGAGAGAGAGAGAGAGAGAAAAATGGAAGCTTTCACCGCTGCTATTTGTTCACCGTATCAAAGAGCTGCAGACTGTTTTTTCCCTTTTCTTTCTTTTTTTCTTTCTGGTCTCATTTAGCCTCATCTAAAATGAGTTTGGTACTTACACATGTAACTATCCAAATTCAATTTTCTGTGGATATTTCTAATGTAGTGCATACTTTAAAAATGTATTTGCACATACGGGAGCACAGCTGAATAGCTTGAAAAGAGAAACTCCTCCAGTCGGGCTTATTACCCTCATGCCTGGACTCAGGCAGGGAGCAATTAATCATATTTTTGCTTTGGGTTAGAATACTGATTTCCATCTCTGCACACAGGAAATGTAATATTTTCAGAGCTGGAAATTCATCCACTAGTAGGTACAGTTTGGCTCTGAGGCTTTCTGCTCCCTGCCGAGCCGAGCGCCATAAAATAATGTGAGAGGAGCTGGAAGACAGAGCGGCTACTGCTCAGCTGGACGCTGGAAATGACCAGTGGAATGTCTGCCTGTCTGTCTGCCTGTCTGTCTGTCTGTCTTCCTGTCAGATGGGTATTTTAGGGGTCCCATTTTGGGGGCCCCTGTGGTTATGTGGTGGGGACGAATGATAAGAGGCCCATTCATTTATATTTCTTCAACATCTGACGAGTTAAGGGTGCTCTGTTGTCTGTAGCATCTCTTAATTCATCTAGGATTCTCTGGAATGCTTTCACTTTTCTTCTTTGTGAAAAGGTGTTTTTTCATGTTTGCTCCTGAACCATTTATTATCTTCAAAGCATTTATCTACAAACGTCCTAACAATTTTTAATTTTTGTATTTTAGAATACATGTTTTCTTCTTGTGTAAGTACGAATGAATTTAATGCTGTGTTTTAATACGGATGTGCTTGTCACATGGATTTGTGGCATAGTACGCCCAATTATTCTAATTATACCTTTGTCATGTCCGTGTAGAAGAACAGACGAGGCGAGGAGACGGATTATTTTGTCATTGTCATGTTTCTCATGAAAGCAGCTCAGAAAGGATTCAGTCACGCAATGTCTACATTGCTAAAGCAGCAAAATGCATTTAGGTATAACCTCCAGGTCACTCAGAGCCCAGCACACAATCACTGTAGTTACACACTTAAAAAAGGAGGAAAGTTGACTAAAAATACCCCAGAGTCACGTGAGCACGAGTGAAACCCGTCTGTCCCGTCTGTCCCGTCACACGCTGAGGGCCTCCTGTGTAGACAGGCCCAAGTGTGTGTGCACTTGTTTTATTTTCAATGTAATGCTGATGTTTTTTTTCCTCTTTCTGCGCTTCATCAAAGAGGCTCAGAAAATCTAAACTAAGAGAAATTATATTTGGGTTAAAAGAACACTGCAACAGTTTAGCAAAGATTGTCCTTTGTCGTCTTGAGCTGGAATCACTGTTCTATAAAGATACCTGTAAATGTCTGTGAAGGTGTTTTGGGGAACACATACGTAGGTCAACTTACACATCCGAACAACCAGCCCGCCCTCACCGCATGAACGTCTGTATAGGTTGAACATGCAGCAGTGTGAGGACGTGTTGGAACAACCCATTATTTGACCCTGCATGTCAAACAAGCTGATTGGTCGAACCAAAGTTACAGTTGTTCTCATTTCTCGAATCATCCCTAACATTTGCAAAATGCAGCGGGGGCGCAGAATGCAAAAATATCACTTTAGGTTGAAAATCGCTGCACAGCGGTTTCTGTTTACCTCCTGTACACAGAGAATCTCATTATCTGACTTGTTCATGAAATAAACAATGGCAAAAATTTTCAAAATGCACAAGATAAAGCATTACACCTCCTCTTAAACTCTCCCGATGGTAATATGTCATTCATTTCCATAATACAAAATCTCTGCAGCAGGTTCCAAACATCTAGCGGAAAGCCTGAAACAGATAAGCGGGGTATTATTCAAAAATCTAAAAGAATATGCAGGAAACTGAAGAATGTCTGGAGCAGTTTGTGTCTGAGGGAAGCATCAAATATGAGTTGTGTTTGTGTTTCTGGCCAATTCGTACAAATCAGTCGCATCCACGCTCAAATGAGGAGACGGCAGCCATCAGTTAAGATCAAGGATATGACAGGTAAGACAGGTGTGAAGGTGCGTTTTCATCGGCACACTGCATGTTTTTCCCGTCCACAAATCAAAGGGGTGTTTGTCTTTTATAACATCAGACCAGACTTTTTGTCTGCTGCTGCCTGTAATTACAGAGTGCTGATCGAGGCGGCAGTTTGAAACGAGAAAAACCTTGAAAAGATCCCCCCCGTGTATGAATCATCTTTTTTATTTCAAACTCCTCCCATTAGAACTTTATTAAAATTCTCGTTGTGGATAATAAATGCTTTCTAGCCATTAGTGGGATGTCAGAGCACTTTGAGCGACGGCATTATTGTGTGACGTGCCCTTGGTTTTCAGCTGTGTGAGTGTTCACAAAGAAGAACCTGTGCTGCTCCTAAACAGGAAATGAAAACATACAAAAGCAGGATTTTATTTCCATGTTTATCACCTTGAGTCGGGATCAGCTGCAGATGAAAACATAAAGCGTCCGAACAGAAAAACAAAAACAAGAAAATACAAAAACTGGATGAAAACACATACACCTGCGTCTCTCAGGGTTTTTTTTTTTCCTTTTTTTCCCCAAGAAGTGAAAAGCTCAGTTATTTTGCTGTTGAATCAGTTTTCTGACACCCGATCATTTTTCTCTGTATCACTTCCAAAATACATATCAGAGAAAATAGCTGCTGTGTTCCTCCTTCCAGCAAGACAACTACAAAAAAACACCTTTTTTTTTTTTTTTTTGCAGATATGAGGTGTTCAAGTTCAATTTCAACTTTATTTGTAAAGCTCAATTTTGCACAAATGCAATTTTTAAAGTGCCTTACAGGAGAGTTTTAACCAAAGGTTTAAATAAAGAAGTCTGAAAAATACACCAAGCAGACTCTTATTCAAACACGTACACTGTGTTCAAAACTGCATTTGCTGATAATAAGACAATGCTCCATATTAAGCTGATGCCCATGCCGTCAATGGGCAACCAGCTGAGACACAGGGCAACTAATTAGGGCAAAGGACATCAGCCCCCAACCAATCAGAGGCATAAATCTATTGCCAGAGAGACGGACACTGCAGAGGTGGATCATGAATGCTTGTGCAGCAACAGTTCTTTTACTTAAGTTTCACATAAAGCACAAACCTGAGTCACTCTGGTTAACTTGCCATAATTATTAAATAGCAATAAACGTTAATTTAATTACAGACATGCATTCCATTTATTGATGTGTCAGCTTTCAAATTGCTGGAAGTCTATTGGGCTCTACAATGCGACCAATTTAGTTGCATATGCCCCTAAAAACAGATACCTGCGAACCGGTAAAAATGATTTACGAGGACAGTGCGGGAGTAAAGATCGCTACCGTAATCCCCACCCCGCCGCCGCGCCGCTATCTGTTCAACACATATAGTCGGACGAGAGGGATCAGTGTTTCCAAACACGTAAAAAGTTGACTCTCCTTTTCTTCCCTCCACTTGCTTGATTTTTTTGACCATCTTGTTTGATTTTTTTTCTGAAATCTCCAAGCCTCTTAGATTCGCCTTTGATCCATTGTTAATATAAAGTATTGATTATAAATGCTTCATGTGGAGAGACCCAAAGCTCGCCAGACTTCATGGTTGCTTAGCTATGACTGGACGACCACTGTTCAGTTCTGTTTTGCTCGCTGGACTCATGAACAAACAAAGTAGAGAAAGAAGAAGAAGGAAGAATGAGGCTGAATTTGGGTTTAGAAACGTATTAAATGTGTAAATCAGCGTGAGCATGCAGCTTCAATGACGAGCTGGAACAGGCAGATGCACAGTATGCGATATTGTAGATCGTTAAATGAGAGTCCGGCCAAATGTCTTGTAGATGCTAAATGCAGATTCACCCGGAGCTGTGTTGAGGTGAAGTAGGCGAGTCGCTGCTGACCATCTGTTTTCAGATCAGCCAGACCACGTAGAGCGTTCTAAA